GCAGCCAACCGACACGAAATGCGAATCTAAATGGATTCATCATAGGCACAACTGAACGCTGCCTTGCGGGGAAGTCCTATTAAGGACATGCGATATATAATTGCCTTTTAATATGGAGACATACATATGCACATTTGTTGTTGCCTGTTGTGTTGTTATGTGAATTAGCCACAACACAAAAAACCCATTCACTGTGAAGGAGTAAGTAAATAAATAGACCAAGGTGCTGTGTTGGTTAATTCCAGAACGTAATTCAATGCAAATGAATCAGGGCTCACGTCGCGATACACGATCAAGGCTTAGTCATATTCGTGTGACCGGCATTGTGAGTGGAAAAATGGCGATAAGCAGCTTGAATTCATAGGTATTTCAGCTCGTAGAGGTAACGATGAATGCAACAGATGAAATCTGAAATGGGCGTATAATATATGTAGGTCTTTATGTAATTGCTCAATTAGGATATTAATTACACACATGTGCTGAGCTTCAATGTCGTATACTTGATATAGAAGTAGATAATAAAATAACATGGAATTTATAGTCACTGCGTATGCAATTAAGCCAAATGGAATTTGGTTTTTTAATCTCTACAATATTTTTAACAGGGAAACATTTTAAGAGGGATAGAATAATAGAGCATAGATATTTATTTCGCATATTAATTATTAATATGGAATATCTTCTATATTATTCGAGTTCTACAATTCCCTTTTCATTGCAACAAATATTTGTATAAAATATGTGGACAAAAAGAATAGCGCAATAAAAATCAATTGTGAATAGCCAGAATTATCAAATTTTTTATAAAAACTATAGAATGAAACTTTTTTAAGAAAAAAATAAGTAGAGTAAATATGTAAACTATCTTAGCCTAAAGCTTATGTTTATAGATATATATTGATATGCAAATACGTTTCTACAATTATGTGACAGTTAAATAATTCAAACATATTTATTGCCACATAAAGTATTCATAGCATTCATATACATAAAACTAAAAGCTTTACTATGAGGCCAGTCGCTAGCGCTCTAATTGCAGTTAGGACTTTAGTGTGCGATATCATTAGCAAAATGAAATTAATTGCAGTTGGATGTGAAAAGCAGATAGTGACTAATAATTGTATACGATAATAAATATGGCAATTATATATGAGTATTAGTTTAAATTACTTGCCATTTAGGCCGCATGCTTAATGACCGAAAACCATCAAAAGTTCAAGCAAGCGTTCATAGCGCTCGATATCTAAATCTATCTCAAACTCAATTCGTTTTGAATTCCAAGTAAATTTGCAGAAGTTTTTGTTCGTTTTAATAGAACGAGCATACAATTTGTCAATTCAACAGTTTACTGAATGCTTTTTCTTCGAATTGAACTTTGTCCATGGCAACGTTCATTAGAATCCATTCAGTGCGACGACCTCGATGGCTTTGCCTCCAAAATTCTGGGCCTGTCAGAAACTTATCTCTATGGGATATTTTGCATACATATTTAATGGGCTTATTGGCAATGGGGCTGATGCTGCTGCCCTTAGTGGGGCTATAATTTGTATTGACTGCGCCTGCCGGCCGGACTGCACTGCATTTGGGGGCCAAGCGCTGGGCATCCATCTCCATTTGGCGCCATGTCTATTGCATTCCGTGGGACGCATTTCCAGTGCCTAATGCCAAGCAATTTGTTCAAGAGCGTATAAATCTTGTGCACATTGTTTGGCTGCCAGTCAAGACACACACACGCACACACACACATGCATACTTGAAAGAACTGGGTGCCCATTGTATTGCCTAAATGAGGAGGTCCTTAAGATATGCGGATGAACTGGTGCGTTCTGCTCGCTTGGCAAAACGTTTTGTCTTTGGTGTTAGTTAGTCTAGATTCTGCGCCTAGATTACTTACATCAGCAATCAATAAAGTATAGGACTAGAGCATGCGCTGCATGTGTGAGTGTGTGGCTGACGCTGGCTCTGGCATTCGGCCAAAGTGCGTTTCCTGCTGGCCACTGTGGCACTCAATCAGATAAAACAAGCATCAAATTTGAATGGGGGATTATGCCTCTGGAGAGTACTTTCAGATATCATACATAACATAGCATCTTTAATGTAGAACATATGCATATAAATATGTTGCATAAATACTTCTTTAAATATGCATGTATGTGTGCGATAATAATAATCAATGAAACAATTTGAATATCACAACAAAATTTTCATGATTCAATATTTAGCATTTCTTAACTGGATTTATTTTAGAGCCCATCTAAAACGATTGGATGTATCTATATGCTTAAAAATAAAAATTGTTACTGCCAGTATATTTTATATTGATGAATGAAATCCTTGCCTAGCCTTGCCTGAGTCCTTGAATGGATACTTCCACATTCACTTCCTGAACCACTGTGCAGCGTCTTTTATTCTGGCGCTTAGCTTGGATTTCATTGTTTATCTATTCGAGTGCATTGTTGTTGCTGCCCCGTAGGCAACTACTGCTTGTGCCTGTGTGCAAATCTGCACACACACTCACACACACACACACGATCACACATACAGACTCACATGTGTGCACACACAGATGCTCGAGTGTGAGGCCTTTCGCTATTGTTTGCAGAATTTATTGCACGAATTTCTGAATTGGCCCCTTCGGATGGGTATGTGGGTTTTATTTTTATATGCCCGCACACACAGATATAATTATATATATGTATATGTATATATCCAAGATAAAAGCACGCATGGCTCGGCACCATTGGCCACTCGGCTGTGGCCTTGGCTGAAGCTTATGCTAAAACAATAGCCCGACCATAAGTATTTATTGGATCGCATTGCCGCATTACGTTTAGGCCTGGCTCGCAGGTGCTGCCATTTATGCTCCGGCCGTCTTAATTGGCATTAAAAAATTAGAACGGTATTGCGTACCCAAAGGCAGACAACAATTTGGGTAGCGTTCATTCCATTTCTCACTCTCTCTCTCTCTCTCTCTTTTTCTGTCCGTCCGATTTGTACATATTGCGCATACGCCATGTTGCTGTGTGACAAAACCCATATCCTTGTCTAAATATCCGATGTTATTATTGTTGTAATTTCCGTTCGCTGTGCGCGGGCTTTCTCTGGATGCTTTTCATGCGTCAAGCGATTGTCTCATCAGCGTTGGACCCATTGCAGAGGCTAATATTATTAATATTGCGTATACGACGCGCTTGACATTTATTTATTACGCTCGCTTTTAATGTCGTCACAGAAATTTATGGAAAACCCGAAAACAATTTGTACACAAACATGCAACACGTTTCCGGCTCATCATTTTCGGTTGCGTGAGTCGCGTTTTACGAGTTCCCATGTGTAGCTGCCCCATGCCGGCGTCTGCTCATCTCCGCGGCAGGCCGTAAATGCGTTATATGTGATGCGGCTGTCGCATAAATTAGTTGCGGATTTACACTGTTTAGCTAGGAATTTGGAACCGAATGCGGGTGGCCATTGCACAAAGCCATTCTGACAGAGGGTTCAAAGCCTTTTGGGCTCCAAGTTTGACAAGAAGGCTTTATTTTGTAATGTAAAATGTGCGAAGAGTTAATGCGAGCAAATATTTTGGACAGAAATGGGGTTTATATGTTCACATGCCGAAGCCTAGGGTAGACAATGCACTTTTAACTGAGCCTCTGTAAATATTTGGTAAAAATCGATATTTATCGATTTTCATATAAATCATATGAGGCATAAGAGGTATAGAATTAGTAATATAAGATTTATTGCCGGATCGTCAGGCACTTTGCGTGATGTAGTCGAGCGCATTTCTGAAGCGTTGTTTACTGGACTCACTTTATGCTCGTCAACTGCCAGACAAATGTCGCCTGCTTTTCGCCTCATTTCGGACAGCTACATGCTGAGTGGACATGCACCCAACACACAAGCTGCAGCTGCATGCATGTGGCATGCAGAAATGTTGCAACATTCATAGCATATAATCGCAGCGCACAGCGGACATTCGAGCCAGATGCGTGTTGCATGTTCAAATTCATGATTTATTTATGGGGGGCTCTGTGAAAACAACGCGACGCCAAATCATGTTCAAGCGGACAGCCTGGCACTCGAATGCCGCCCAGTAATTAAATCGAATAATTGAAACGAAAATTTAATTAAAATGTATTTAAAGCCAACAGCACAACGAAAAGCTACAAACATGGCCTAAAACAATTATAAGCAGAGACACAAAACTGGACACGAGCATATGTATATCCTTGTGTGTGTGTGTGACCTTAATCCAATTAGCAGTGTCCTGCTGCTGCCAGGTCACCGCTGTGTGGCACCTCTCAAATGATTCCCCAATTTACTGTCAGTCAATTTAATTTCGTGTCCTGCGCCAATGGCAAACTCCGCCCGAATTGGCAGTTTGGGCAGGTGCCTGGTGGCTGATGGCTGGTGCCTGGTTTCAATTTCATTGAGCTGGCCATTTGCTGGCACTTTCGGAAATTGTTTCAACGTCGGTTTGTAATTTCACACGCAGTTAAGTGATTAGCCTTGCTTTTTGCTTTGCTTCTTCGTTTGGGAACTCCAAGCCGAAATCAAAACAAAAGCGAAAGAAAACTAAGTTAAAGAAAGTGTGTAAGTGTGTTGTGACAGAGAGAGAGAGAGAGAGAGAGAGAAGCCGATGGAAACAGATGTCGGCGGGAGTGCCCGACTAGCAAATTGAAATGTGTAAGAAATGACAGAAACTAACAGGAAAATTAAATATTCAAGGTCTGTGAAGACTTGGCTAAAGCTCGTAAAACTAAAGTCCTAAATTTATAGCTCTATCTGTTTTCTATCTAAGTCTTAGCCATCAAGTCATTTTTAATCAATGCTCAAATACTTCCAGTTGCTATCTGTATATTATTTAGATATATTTCTTGAAAAGAAATGGAAAATTCACCCACATATACACAATCCCAATATACCCCTCCCTAACCTCTTTCAGACAATGGATAAAAAGCATAAAATGATTTTTATTTTTTGATTCCGCTCGATTGCAGCTGGGCCATTCCATGTGAAGCAGCGCACGGAGCAGCAAGGAGCGCTCAAATTCAATCACTTGGGGGCAGCATGGATGAGGAGCACGACGACGACCGAATAATATGAGATTAGATGGGGCTTTAGAGCCCCGTCACGGTGCTGCCACGTTGCAGAACCGCTTTATTGGTGTTGCCAAGTATCGGCGCGAGACGCGTGTAAAATGTGAGCTACAGCAACAGCAAAGCGCTGACGAAGACGACGACGCAGCAGTAGCAGCAGTAGCAGCAACAGCAGCAACAGCAGCAGCAGCAGCAGCAGCAGCAGCAGTAGCAGTAGCATCAGTCGCAGTCGCAGTTGTAGCGCCAGCAACAGCTAAGCAACTAAGCAGTAACAACAATCAGAGCAACAATAAGAACAACAACAACAACAGCAACAGTTGTCGCTGGGAGCAACAAGCTCAACACTTGTCGCCCACCCAGGCGCCAAGTACAACAACAATAACAACAACAAGAGCAACAGCAACAAGAAAGCAAGTCAACTTGCACTTAAGCAACTTGGGCGCGACAGCAACAACAGCAGGAGCAACAGCAGGAGCAGCAGGAGCATTACTAACCACTGCCGTCACCCTAAAAATGCGTGTGGAGCACTCGTTAATGCTAATGGCGCCTTGGATCGGCGGCGGCCAGCGCATGGTTAGGATGGGGCGTCACAGCGCAAACAATGTCCTGCGCCTGATTTCCGTTTTGGCGCTGCTGTTGCTGCCGCCATTGCCGCTGGCGCTGGCCGATGACGGTGACAATTTCTTTGCCGTTAATAGCTTCAGCGTGGGACCCGAGACGACAACGCCCGAGTTTGGTAAGCCAACACCACATGGTGGCAACCCCGCTATATACATATATGTACATATACATATACATATACATATACATAGGGGCCAGGTCAGGCGTTATCGCAATGCATGCAAATATCATTTGCGGCAAAGCCTTAATCAAATATGCTCCACAATGACGTCATCATGCTGCACACGTTCCATTGTTGCATAATCAACACGGAGCACGACCAAGCGCATGTCTACAAGCATAAAAATAGTTACACTACTTGTTTAGCCATGTTCTCGTGTGTGTGTGTGTGTGTTTGTGTGTGTGTGCGCTTAACGTTTCGTAGACCCACTGGAGGTGATTGCGTGCCGTGCATGAATCCGCATGACTAGAAGCATCTGTTTTGGGTCGTGGTACGTGTTGAGTGCACTTGCATGGAAATTGCGGATTTCAAACGAAAATTGAGTGTATAAGTCCAAAATTAATTGAGTCCGGTATTAATAGGTCTAAAATTAATAGAATTCAAAGAGTATATTAGCAATATTCTATCGAGTATCATTTAGTTTTCAGTTCTATTCGTTAGGCGGAACTGTTCAGTACCGTTTCAGTACTAGTAGTAGGGGAATAAGTGTTCTGGAATCATACGGTCTAGATAAGGATTTCCACTGAATAGGATATCTGGTTTCCGCTTATTGGATATAGTATATATTATATATACATATCAGAAAATTGGGAATTGTGTGCATTGAAACTACTTGGCTTTCAGACTCATTATGAGAATTTCGATAGTTGAGTTGAGATTTTTAGTTTGAGCTGACAAAATATGTGCAATAGTCAGCAGTTCTTAATTTTCAATACCTATCCAGCAGTATACGTATTAAAATAGTGTATATATCAAGTTGTTTTAAACACGAATCGCAGTATATTTATTTGCAGTAATAATAATACTTTCAATTGTCGAAACTCAGTATCTTACTCGAATCGAAGCCTCCAACCTTCCCATTGTATAACCCATTGCATAAGTAAAACTGTATACTTGATTGATGATTGGGTAAGAATCATCTAAAGAAATCCTATTTTGAATTATCTATTGACAAATATTTTGTGACAATTTCTGCCGACAATGACATTTCATAAAGTTAAACTTGCTCATAAAGTTAAACTTGCTCAATTGACACACCCCACTTCAGTACAAGCCACAAAAATCTATTGTTATTATAATCCACACACTGTCATCTCTGGTTTTTTATCTGTGTGAGTCACTTGCACAAAAAGTATTTCCAGTATTTCCATCTCGGTTTGATGAGGTTTTGTTGCTGCGGCGACTGCAAAAAGGTTTGCCCTGCATATTGCTTTTCTTATACACATATGCCAAAGGGCGAGAGACAGAGTGAGAGGGAGAGGCAGGGGGAGAGAGAGAGCATTTTTGAAATAAGCAAAAGTTTCTAATTATAAATGCCAGCCTTCCGGGCGCATCGGGGTCCGCAGACTTTTGTGCGAGCATGCTAAATGGCTGACCATCAGCGTTTCGACACTGGCAATCACTTATGAACATAAGGTTTGTGTCTTTCGTAGGGGGAACGTAGGGTGTGCTTATTTGAAAAATGAACTCAAGAAACGTGCCCCGAGCAGCAACAGCACACCGATGGGTAAACAAAACTGCCTTGCCTGTTAAGCTCCTTTTGAGCAGGGTATTAAAAGCGTCGCAGTGCATGGCTGTGTGGTTGTCAGTGCACACTTTGTCAATGCTAGCAGCAAATTTGCCTCGCTTGCTGCAAGGCTGCTTGCCACAAAAACCGAACCACCAGCAGCAACAGCGGCAGCGACAGTGGTAGCATTGCTTTTTTAGCTGCACATGGCCGGGCGCTATTCATAGCAGTCGCTGCATTTAAAAATAAACCGCAGGCAAATAGGCATGCACACACACACACACACACACACACAAGTTTACACACACTCTCACATATTTACCGCATAAAAATGGCGCAACCTTACGAAGGCGCAGCCATTTTGTTTTGTCTTTTGCGCTTCCGTTGGCTTAAATGCGAGGTCGGCGCACATCCTTTTCCTTTTTCCCGTTGCCTGCTATCGCCGGGCTAGGCCTCTGCCTCAGTATCGTCATCAGCATCGGCATCAGGCATCGGCACCAGACTCATCAGCCGCAGCGTAGGCAACAGAGTATATACTGTTATACTGGGTAATTATGTCTGGATATCAACAACCAAATTAGTGGAGCCAGCGGTGTGCGCGTTTGGCATATGCCGCAACATTAACGCTGACGCTGGCGCTTAACCCCTCGTTGCCGTTGAGATTTTTTCCTCGTATTGTTGGACGCGAGTTCCGGCCGAAAGTTGCTCCCAAGTGCTTAATTAAGATGTGAGAAGAACTCAACTCACTTTACATGCCGCTGGCGTGTATGTGTGTGTGTGTTTGTGTTTTCATTTCATTCAAAGTTAATGAAGAATACGCCCCTCATGCTCATCCGACAAGTGGCATGTGGCATGTAGCATGTGGCATGTAGCATGCACAGGCTGAAGTGCCTACACTTGAGCCGCACTCCAGCCCCTTGAGTGCGTAGCCAGAAACCAAAAAAACATTTCGGCACACTGCCGTGCTCAGGTGTACACAGGTGTATATATGTATATATACATATCCTAGCTGGCTGACAGTCGTTGGCTCTGAGATTTATACATGAATTTACATTTTAATCTGCCACTAAGCCGCTCGGGATTCAAATACTTTTCGCATTTTCAGCGGACTTTGAGTGCTTCTTTTATTTTATTTGTTTGGATTGAAAGTTTGTTGCGGTTTCATTATAAATTTGTCGCTAGGGATTAGTCGAGAAACATGTGTTAAGATTACCGTTCTCATGCCTTCCTCTAACTCATACATACATACATACACATGTATATATATATATATGTTTATATTGCAATCTTCACAGATTATGCCAGCCGTGGCCAGAAAAAGTTCGGTGACAAGTGCGAGAATACCTTGGAATGCGGCTTTCCCGGCTCCATATGCGATCCCAAGAAGAAGTCCTGCCAGTGCACCGAGGATCTGCAAGTCACCAATCACATTGACAAATGTGGCAAGGGTAAGCGAAGAATAGCGCGAGGCAAAAGACGAAAGACGGTGTGTGGAAGGGTAGAGGGTGGAGGGTGGTGTCCCTTGCTTCGCTGTGCCAGTTGCGCCCGGCCTTGCTTGTCAGTCTGCCAAGTTTTCATTAAACGAATCGCCGGGCTAGCGAAACAAATCCCCCAAAGCCTTACGTTGATTACTAACTGCTGAATATTGAAAATTAAAAACAGAAAACTTGGCAGCGGGCTGCCATATAATGAACCTGGGGAACTTTGCCCATCTTTGATATAATTATAGTATACGTTCCCTGGACGTAAACACATTAAAAGCCATAAATTCAAATTAATTTGTGCGATTATTGCGCGCATTTCTGACTGACACATTTAAGGCCCGGCTAATGAGTCATCGAGTCGGGCCAATGAAATTGCGGATAACATTGTGAAATCACAATCAGGAATAGAATGGGGCTAACATGCTTCGATGAACTGCATCGTAGTTAATTTTTATAATTAATACTCTCATTATCATGATCACTGTCAGTATCCTTATCATTGTTATTGTCATTGCCATTGTCATTATTATTGTAATTATCATTATATATCATTATTGTTATTAGTGTTCGGATTGATACTATAATTATCATTCCCACCGTTATTGGAATTTCTTTTGCCATTTTCATTATGATTATCATTATCATTATCATTGCCATTGTTATTGTCAATATCATTAGAAAGTCTAAGAATATTGTCATTGGCATTATAAATGTCATTATTAATATCATTATCTGTGGAAATAGAATTAGCATACCTTTATCATTCTCATCATCATTATCATTGTCATGAGCATTATCATTATTTTTTATCATTAGTTTCTTATTATTTTATTCCTATTTTGTCTATGTAACACACAAATCCTAGTAAAAGAACATGTTAGAGCACCTCTTCTGCTCTCTAGTTGAGGAAATACAGTTTTTTTTAAGCATTTCCTAGTTCAGCAGCTATAACTGTGTTACAAGGACCTAATGCATATCTCTAACATTCTCAGACACTGTTTATGCATTTACACACATGCTAAAATTATTCAAATACAACATTTGCAATGGCCGCATAAAAAGTCAGACAGGTAGAGGGTGCTCCGGCTGACTACCGACCACTCCCTCTAGTGGGCTATAAAAATATTTGTCTGGCAGTCATCAAACTGACGCCACTGAGAATTTACTCAGCCCAGAGTCCAGCTGTTCCGTTCCGAGACAACCATAAAGCAAAGTTGTAAACAAGCTGTGGAGCAATAGAGTAAATATATTTATATGCTATGTTTGTACATCGTATCTATGTACGTATGTGTGTGTGTGTGGTTAACTGAAATGAATCATGGCCACAGACAGCTGTACTACACTCTCTATACTCACTCTCTATACTCCACTTGCAGCGGCTGCCATCAACGAGTCCTGTTTCTTCAACGAGCAATGCGAGGCGATTTACTTTCAGACGGAGTGCCGGGATGGACGCTGCATATGCCGCTTCGAGATGTTGCCCATCTGGGGCAAGGATGGCTCCGTTGAGTGCAAAGGTCTGTGTGTGACATATGCGAATTCAGTTTCAACCAGGATGGAAGAGTAATGTCGTTGTTGGTTGTGCTTCTTTGCAGGACGGCAGGACAAGCGAGGAGCCGAGACATACATTGATCCGGCCATGATTGGCGTGCTGGTAGGAATGGCATTGATGTTTATTATTATTTGTGTCGTCCTGCGATTATTTAGCCAGTGAGTAAATTGCAATGCAAACATTTAACACAGGCAGCAAACAGCGCCGCACACAAACATAATCTAATTGGGCCAATGGGTGGGCGATGTCAGCTTCATTAGGACTGAACTCAACTCAATTTGGGTCTCGACACTGTGACGTTGCCCTGGCTACCGGCCAAATGATACATAATTTGATCAGCAATTTATTTCACTTAGATGAACAAAATTTTTGCATTAATTGGCATTAAGGGTGGCCAAGAGCAACGTCAATGTGCCACACACACATGCACACCCACACACATGCACAGAGCTAACATTAGTTCAATCGAGTCACGCCCAGCTTTCGCACATGTCCCAACCCCGACCCAACCCACAATTTCAGCTTCACTCAACTAACTCAACATTATTAATTTGCTATAGGGCGCGCTGGCATGAGAACCGGACCATATTCAATACGCCGAATCCACGGCTGATGAACGTCTCCCTGTTGCGGGACAACAAGTTGCTCCATGGCCAGGACAGGCGGGGCTCTCGGATGTCTGTGCGCGCTCCATCCCGGCAGCCGAGCATGGCCTCGTTGCGCCCACACTCGCCCAACCCGTCGCTAGGTAAGACAGGTTTGTATTCCATAATTACGGCTTCCATTGATGGCACCATTTTTTTTACCAGTACTTAACCAGTGCGCATTTTGGCTTTGGTTTCCTCATTTTGTTTGTGTGTCGTTTTTGTTGTCGTTGAATCGTTTTTGTTTGATTTGTGCTCTTCCGTTTGAGAACTTGCAGAACTTTCTGCACACAGCAAGAATAAATGCAATCAATCAATCAATCAGTCAACCAATCAGTCAGCCAGTCAGTCGCCAAAAAAAAGTAAAATAAATAAAATAAAAAGAAAAACCCAACAACTAACCAAACAAATCACAGCAGAAATATCCCTTTGCGTGAGTGTGCGAAAGTTAAGCTCTTGGCAAAAAGAAAAAAAAAAAAATAATAATAATAATAGCAAAAAGTGCAAGCAAACTGTTCTTTAATGATATCTTAAGACTGTACTTAAACACTTTTCTTGATTGACATTTGATAATTTATAAATAAAACGTAAATAACTGTAATGCATGTATTTATAGCCATAAACCATTGCGAAATCATCTATAAGGCAGTAATCATAATTGAACTTGAGTTAGTTGACTTTGCGATTTGATATCATTTATAAAGATTTCATATACATGAAGGTAGATATTAAACGGAATTAAGACAAGTGGCAGGTTTTATAAAATATTTATTGCTATAGTTCAAAAATAATTTGAACAGGCTCTCTAATAAAAAAAAAAAAAAATTTTAACTCATTTATATGAATATTTATAATTTATATTATTTACAATTTGATTTTTTAACAAAAAAATTTGAAAATTTAAATTTGCAATTATTAATTTAAATAAATCATTTTCAGAAGAGAAAATATATTATATTTTTCATATTAATTGGAAAGAATATTTTATATTTTGTTTTACAAATTGAAAAAAATCGAATAGGTTTACATAATATAATTTCATGCAATTTTAAAAACATTGATTCAAGAATATTTTTTACTTTTTAAATGAGAAACTTTTAAACATTATTCTATGATAAATATTCGTCTTTAATGAACGTGTAATGAAAACATAAAATATGTTGAGAACAAAGTGAGTTCAAGGAAACAATCAAATAGAATAACTTTTAGCATATTTGTTTGCCAACTGAAGTAGTTATATAAAGAGAAAGCAAACGTGATTGCTTTTTATATAAAAAGCTTCGGGCTTACTCATCAGCCAAAAAGCCATTGAGTATTACCCAATTGAGTGGATCGCATTTTGAATGAATTTCTCTATGGAAACGCAGCGTAATCAGTGCCAAACAAAATTGCGAAAAGTTCAAGTGTGCGGTTAGAATTCTTTGATTTCACATTGATTGACGCTCTAAGAACCATTAAATTTCGCAACTTGATTGTTGTTGCTTCGCTAATGCTTTCTAAAGGCAGCCGTTGCCAATTACCTTTGTTCTCAGTGCTTAACTTTATTGTTGTTATTTAAATTTTGTGTCGCGATGCCAAACAATAAAACAATTTCTTTGCTCGCTGCCTGCTCTCTCTTCTGCCACACCAACTGACATATACAAACAAACAAACAAACAAACACATTCACATGCATACCCACACACACAAACAAACTTACGCACGAACAAATTACTGTAAAAGGTCGTATGATACGCTCGAAGAGCAACACGCGCTCCAGCGACTCCCGTGTCAGCGATGTTTCCAACTGTTCCCGTCTGCTGGAGCATCCGAGCGCCGCCAGCCAGTACAATGTTGTCCATAGCCATTTTTTGCCCTACGTGCCAACCACCACAGCAGCGGCGAATGCTGCCAGCAGCACCACAACGTATGCTGCCCCAGCCACAGCCACAGCCACAGCCTCAGCTACAGCCGCAGCTTCAGCTACAGCCACTGTCCCAGCGACGCCGACGCCGACGCCGATGCCAGCGTCAAACATCATCGTTACGACCACATATGTGTCGTCGCCGGGCACGGCGCCTGCCTGCGGCATGACTGCCAATCCGGATGCCAATAAGTTTTAGTCATAGGCCATACATACAACATATATCAAATGAAATGCAGCCATATCAGTATATCAGTACCAGTGTCAGTTCCAGTACCAGTACCAGTTCCAGTTCCCGAATCGGTTCCACGAGGTATGCAGTCGCCTCAAATTCGTTGAATGTGTTCTTTAGCTGTGTTATGCCCAGTGTCCTGTATATTGTAGTTGCTGTCTGTATTGTTGTCGTACCAAACTGTTGTAAGAATCTAACATTAAAGCTAAGTCGTAGTGAGAGTTGCCGTTAACTTCTAGACTAAGTAACTGCTCCCTGCCATAACAAATACTAACCCCAATGTATGTGTTCCACCAGACACTCTCCAAGACACCAAACACTCTCTCTGACTATAACGAAACAGAAGAACAACCAACATACACACACACTTAATGTTAAGATTCTAGTTAAAGCTTAACTTCAAGTTCAAGTTCATGTTAAAATTTACAGATTTAGTTATTTAGTCTGCTGCCCTATACATTCTTCGTACACTAACGACACATCTAACTGATCATACGAAACTGTCATACGAACACTAACGGAACCCATCTACTTCAGCCATATACATGACATTATTTGTATATCGTATAGTGCCTAGCAGCGTCTGTATTTTGTTTTCATTTTCATTTCAGTTTCATTTCGACTTCTATTTCTATTTCCGTTTCCGCTTTCAGTTTCCCGTCTCTAATGCACGCCATTTCCGTTTTGAGCATGCTTGACCAACTAGTTATATGAATTAGCGAGCTTTCGCCTAAGCCTATAAAACTATTAAATAAACTTTATGCTTGCAGAGGACATTGTAATTAATCAATGTATAATGTTATATGGTATAAATCTAGATGTGATTTAAGTTCATTTGTGGATTCGATCGATCAATCTTCTGTAATGTATGTTCTCTGTATTAGACAGAGTTATATGAGGCAGAAGAGTGCTGGAGTCCGCCTCGTATTCGTAGTTAACGTTGTTTACTTTCCCTTATTAAGTCTCGAATTTTTACATATAAATATATAATCCAAAAATTCTATATGGTATGAAAATAAAATAGAAAGTCCTCATCCTGCAACTAACCCGATTGCTAAGCAGTCTCACATCTGATTCGCCTCTGCAAGTGTATGTCATCTGCGGCAATCCGAAGATAACTTTTCCCATTACTATTTATTTGCCATAAAAATTCTCATATTATTATGTAGAGTGCATAAGTAGGCCAGCGTGCTTCTGTGTAGTCTAGTGCTCGCTCGAATGCATTTCTATTTCCTCAGCTGACTCACGTAATCCTGTCAACAGGCTCCACTCGAGTTAACTGAATGCCAACCTTGTTATCGCTTAGCTTGTTGTTGTTGTTGTTGCCGTTGCTGTTAATGTTGTTATTGTCGTTGAGCTCTATCCGTTTATGCGTACCACATGCTCTGCGTATTAAGTTGAAAAATGTAATAAACATTCGCTACGTGCTCCCCACAGGCTCCCAGTCGGAATCTCATGGCAGCGCCAGCAATGCGTCAGCCGTTTCGGTACGTTCAAACCGCAGCAATTCGGTGGCGCCCGGCAAAGTGTCCGGCGGTGGACATCACGAGCGACACGGCTCCTCGCACCGCCAGCATCACTCGCAGCTGCAGTCACCTCAGGAGGAGTCGCTGATAACGAACATAACCACAAATCCAGTGGCCGAGAGCGTGACCGTTGAAATTATTGAGCCCGGACATAAGTAATGCAGTAAATGCGTAGATATATATATATATATATATATATATAGACAAAAGTATATATATGTATTTAGAAAAATATTATATACTCACATCGTCGTTTAGTATGCACGCGATAATATGGCGCCTGCGGGCCCATACATAATGCCATGTTTAGAACCCTTTTTTAATGAAAACATTTTTTGCAATTAATGGACAATTTTTCCAAAGCGTATTACAAACTTTTGCAGAACCACACGACAAACAAATGCTAATTACTTACTCACATATACATAAACAGCATATATGTATATATCTATATATACAATATATGCCTAGTTGTTATATAGCAAGCAATGTATATATTGTATTGGATATATGCGACTACACCATGAAAAAAAAAAATGTTCGAAAAAAACCTTGCATAACAAATTCATATTTATTTCAAAAAAAAAAAAAAAAAAATCAAACAAGTATATTTAAAAAAAAAAAGCAAAATTAAGACCATAAAATTTAAATAATTTCTTAATTTATATATAAATATTGTACGCAGATTTAAAGCTTTGGGCTCGATAGCTGTAATAGAACCTTTGCCTAAGCACCCAAGCAACAAGAAATTTCGTAGAAATGCAAACAACGGTTTTGTAGCAAAATGGAGTTGTTGGTATAATCCTTACACCAAATAGGAAAAGCGAAAATCATTGCCAAAAACAACAATTGGAACAAAAACAACCAAATACAAAGCCGATTATGTACAATGTACATGAGCACAACGCCTTATCTTATCTATACCTAACTAGAAGCAGAGTGGTACCGGTTACAATATATACACACCTCTATATATCTATATTGCTATATAGAAAGCGCGAGTTCCGGCCACACTTCCAATTGCTGCTATAGCTCCCAAAAAATGGATATTCAAATTCTGTAAGCCAACGCTAAGAATAAATTGAAATAAAACAAAAATGAAATAATAATGGCAAGAAATATTAAAAACCTCGGGACCATATTTTATAATCAAAATATGCGTTTCAATTAATGAAGCACGCACGTTTTAGTTCCCACTAATATTCTTTTGTCAAGTGTTTTACTCGAAAATAATTTTTAAGCTAGATATTGTTAAACGCTGGCTGAACTAAAGTTTAGGGAACACACACACAAACACACTCAAGAAAGAAAGAAGATGGAATAGAAGCGAAATGAAACGAGAAGCGAGAAGCGAGAAGGCAGCACCAATGCACACTTAAGTGCCGTAGTTCGAGTAGTTAGCGCCTAACTAAGTATAATCTATATACGTGTAGCTGCTTAATAAAATAATCTAAATTGACTTCCAGTTAAATTTACAATCTTTCGGTTCTCTGCAACACATCTGCAACACTTTGTGCTAAATTTTGATTTACACGTGAGATAAATGTAAAACGCCCTAATTTAACAAATTTAACGTATTTTTGTTTCTTCCTTTTTTGGAACCCTCTGAAATGGTTGATTGAGAACTCAGCATGGGGCGGGCTAAGAATAGGGGAAGATTCTTAGAGCGTCCCGTGCTGAGTTCACATTAAGCTGACCGCAAATAAATTTAAATATATACATATATACACACATATATATATCTATATATATATATATATAGTACATAGAATGTTGAGTATATTAAGGTTTTTTGGTTTTCCGCTAAGCCCCCCTCAACAAAAAACTCTCATTTGCTTTTGTGCTCAATCAAAGAAGCTTAACTGTGAGAATAAGAAAGTGAATACAAAATGTGTTTATACTTAAAAAATAAACATACAAATGAAAAGTAAAAAAAAAACGTTTAAATAAATACCTTAAATAACTAACTTTACCAATACCTACAGAAATAAGCCTAAAATGGTACGTACAATATAGTAGAGCGAAAGTATATCGCATAATCTTAAACAGGATACTTAAAATTTCAAACAACAACAAAACTTAAGCAAAAAATAAAAATGCTTGAACAAATACATATTTGCTAAAAACAAGTAATTAATTACAATAAAGATCAAAATGTAATACTAATCATAGTAATAATAATAATAATTTTATTCAACTTGCATCGAATTTTTCTTAAACGGCAGACAAACAATCTTATTTCTAGGGCATCTAAATTATATATATATATATGTATACATACCTATTTACATTCATACACAGCACAAGAGTAAGATGTTTAGAAGATGAAAAAAGAGTTTATTCAAGATCCGAAAAGAAGAAGAAAAAACAACTTAAGCTTTGAAATTTGGGGAAGGATTTCAAGGTTTAACTTGGTTTTTGTGACAACACATAAGGAAAAGCTAAAATCTAAATATAAATATACACATATATACATATACATAAGATTTATGAACATTCTCCAGACACTGATTTTTCTATTTACATCAAACTACAAAAATGTTGAAGGCAGACTTTAAGTAAGCGAATTTTAAATAAGCAAACAAAATCATAAGAAACAAATATTTTAAAAAATTATATACATCAAAATATATGCTTTATTTACTTTAATATTTATACACAATAAAACTACATGAAAAAAAAAAAAATATATATATATATAAAAAATTATAAAAGTCTAGTGAAAAAGAAAAGTAATGCGATAAATTCATTTACACTTTACTAAACAAAAATCAAAAACAAATTTTATACATATACCAAGCAAAATTTCGTAAATCTAATAAAAATCTATATAGAAAAGAATAGTAGAAAAAAATGCACATACGGAAAATAATAGAATACTAATATTAATAAATATATTGAATGCTAAAGTATGAAAACAGGCAAGAACTACATTCAAGATTTCTCATGTGACTCATGTAATACTAGACACAACAACAAGAACAAATAGGAGTTGAGCGTAGTTAGTAGTATTGAAAAAAAGAAAACAGAAGAAGAAACACTAAACAGTAGCCAGATTTATAGCGCGCTAGTTAATCGTTAAGTAAATAAATACATGGCATTCTAAAGAACAAGATAAGAAATTATGAAAACCAAATACTTACAAATGCTTTTTTTTCAAAAACTTTAAGAAGCTGAAACGCTACAACAACCACTTCGTATATTATACATATAATGTGCATATATATACACATATATATATACATACATATATATATATATATATACAAAATTATATAGATTTATATTTAAAGATCAGTTCACTATAATAAAAACTATATTACCATAACTTACAAAACAAAACATAAACTACAGTCTTTTATAGTGTGGTGCCCCGGAATACGCTCAGCCTGCCCTCCGGCTCCAGATTCGGCTGATCGGCCGGCTGACGTTTGCTGATCACGCGCTTGTAATAGCTCTGCTCCGCTACGTAACGCAGGTGCTTGGCACTACCGGCGCCCGTTTTCTCTACGAACCGGTAGAGATACCCATTGTGCTGCTGCAGCAGCTCATGCGGATGACCCAGCTCCACGACCCGACCGCGATCCATGACCAGCACACGATCCGAGTCCATGACCGTATGCAAGCGGTGCGCAATGGTCAGCACCGTGCAGTTGGCGAACTTTGTGTGTATGGCCTCCTGGATGAGCTGATCCGTGCTGCAAATGGCATTGGGATGAATTTATAATGTAGTTTAAATGATTTTGTCGGTATATGACTATGAGATACCCTGTAACATGCATTCCAGGTTCTCATTTGAAGGAATACCGGAATATCTATGCGAAAGAAGTACGTTCACCCATGATATGACTAATTCTATTGTCTTTCAGTTATGCTCAGTCTGATAATCGGTTTTTAGTGATAATCAGGGAACTGGATTAGATATGGAAAAGTCATGATACGCTTGTTCCGCGTATGACATAAGAGACTTCCAAATATCTATGGCACATCTGTGTCTAGGTTTTGTACTTTACGGACGGAAATTGTCAAATCGTCATGATGGATAATAGGTACTTGTAGTTGATGAGCTCATGAGCTACATAAGTGATTAATATTTCGGCTATGAATCATATTGGGGTTCACACTTACATCGGATCCACGTTGGCCGTTGCCTCGTCCATGATGAGTATTGTGCTGTGCCGCAGTATGGCACGGGCCAGGCAGATTAGCTGGCGCTGGCCCATGCTGAAGTTGGCGCCTCCGTCGTGCAGTCTGTAGCTGAGGCCGCCGTTCAGGGCCGAAACGAATGTCTTTAGCTTGACGGCGTCTAGCGCTTGCCACAGTTCCTCATCCGGCTGGTGCTCAAACGGATCCAGATTGTAGCGCAACGTGCCCGAAAAGAGAACCGGATCCTGTGGTATAATCGAGATGCGGCTGCGCAAATCCTGCAGACCCAGCTTGGCAATATCATAGCCATCGATCTCGATGAGGCCCTCGTTGAGCGCCAGGCGAAAGATCGCCTGGACCACGGAGGATTTGCCAGCGCCTGTGCGACCCACAATGCCCACCTTTTCCTTGGGATGTATGGTGAAGCTGAGTCCCTTCAGCACATAGTGTCCGTGTTCACCGTAGCGCAATCGCAGATCTTTAAAATGCAGCTGGCCCGCACTTGGCCAATTCGCGGGCAGATTGACGGCTGCCTCAGTCTCATAGGAGGGCTCTGGTGGTATCTGCACGTATTCCAGGACCCGCTCTACGCTGGTCATCTGGTTCTCCAGCTCGACGGTCTGCCGCATGCCCCACTGGCAAATGATGCCCAAGGTCATGGATTGCGTTATGGCCAGGCCCACATCGCCGCTGTAGAAGCTACGATTGATCACCAGGAAGCTGAACGTAACCACCAGAATGTACACCACACAGATGAGATCTGTCCAGAAGGCAAAGGCCCTATTGATGCTCGCATGCAGATAGACAGCCGAGGTGTGTTCATTTTGATAGTTGTGGAAGCCGCTCTCCAG